TAATCCTTACACTCTAACTAGCTCTGGGCAAGTAAGCCCTTCAATTCTTTTTTCTGCTTTCCTCATACATGAAATGGAATTAGACCAGTTGTCTCAGGGACCACCAACATATGCATTCTATGGATGGTATTCACATTGTACTGGCCCATGTACTCCTGGTCTGGAAGGAATTCAATAGAAAAATAACAGACTTTTTTTTTGTAAAATGAAATTGTTCCAAACTTTGCCTGAGTGCCTCTTAGCTTTGGTTGCCTTTCTTACAGAAAAGATTTCAATATCCTCAAGAAACGCTTTTTTACAAAGAGGCTGCTGTCTTTTGCAAATAGAACTGTCAGTAAAAGTAGAAATTGAGACATTATCATCTTGACACAAAACCTGTGGCAGTGTTTTTACGTCCCCATGCTTTTTTTAAATATATTTTTTATTTTGGTATCATTAATATACAATCACATGAGCAATATTATAGTCACTAGACTCCCCCCATTATTAAGTCCCCACCACATACCCCATAACAGTCACTGCCAACAGCATAGTAAGATGCTGTAAAATCACTACTTGTCTTCTCTGTGCTGTGCTGCCTTCCCCATGCCCTCACCCCACTCCCTATGCTTTTTATACCTGCAGGTCATAAAGGCAAAAAATGCTTTTTATCTCCTCAGAACTCATTATTCCGTTGACTATGCCCTGTTTTTTTGTGAAGAAATAAATGTCTCTATCAGCTGTCAGAACTCCATCTTGCTTGTGAGCTTTAAGTGCTCTTGAGGTGACATATATGGTCCTGGAACCCCAAACCTCTTCATTGCTGATTTGTTTCTTCTTTAGGCCTCTTTTTTAAGCCTCTTATAAAAACCAATCTCTCTTAAAATCCCACGGAGGACTTCCTTATATACTCTAATTTAGTTTCAGAAAGAATACATGTTTCAGTCAAATGTTCCTGCTGTGGAGTAGGAAGCTGAGCTCTCTGGCTTCTACCGCCCTGCTAGGGTGACAGGCATTCTCCATGGGGCTTGGACCATGCATGATGTGGGCTATTAAGAACAAGGCAAGGATTCCTTTGGAACCAGAGTCCAGCACAGAGCCTGGCTTTCACAGGGCTGCTCCAATTTCTTAGCTAGCCTCTCCTGAAGCCCTTGTGGATGGTGGATGGACAAAGTGTGGCTGGGGTCATTGCCCTTTGCCCCACATTCTCCCTGCCATGAGTATGTGAGTACTCTGGGGCTATTTCAAGAAAAGAAGAAGACAGATAAAGTAACAAAGCTCAGCTTGTATCCCATCTCTCCACAAAGCTGCTTTTGACCCTGTGGGCCTATGTGGATCCCTTCTGACCCAATCTCCAAACTTGCATTACTGTAACATTTGAACTATTCTGTAAATGGTGTGTGAGCCTGTTATACTAGGGGCTGGCATATTACCTCCCTCAAGGGTATCTACCATTTAAAAGGGGCCTCCTAGAGCTCTCCAAGTCTTTAACCCTGCTGTGGGTTGAACAGCATCCTTCAAAATGTGTTTCCCCAAAGTTGAAGTCTTAATCCCTGGTACCTTCAAATGTGACCTTGGAAATATTTCTTTGCAGATGTAATTATGAATAAATTAAGATGGTGTCATACTGGAATAGGGTGTGCCTATAATTCAACATGACTGGTCCTTATGAGAAGAGGAGAAGAGAGAGTCATGGAGAAGAGAAAGCCATGTGAAAACACACACACACCAGAGGAAGGTGGTGTAGGGAAAAAGGAAATTCCATGGCCAGGATTCTCACCTGATCTTAATCTCACCCATTGTATATATGGGATGAGGTAATGCTTAGCCCATTGCACAGGCACCTACTTGCATATCCCTTGGTAGTAAGCCATTTATGGCTGATACTGCTTTAAGAAGAATTCCACCTGGTGCTAAGAGCGCAGGGAAATGGGAGAGCGGAACCTGGAGAAGAGGGAAGCAGCAGAGCCCCATGCTAGGAAGAAAGAAGGGAGTCTAGAGAACAGGTGGGAGCAGACACAGAGCCACGAGCAGAGGCTGGAGCTGAGGCAGAGGCTAGACAGGTGGACAGGTGTCTAGTGTCCAACCTACTGCCCTGAGAATATAGCTTGGTATGAGCCCCTTTTTACAACGTTCCATTGTCATAATTTGGTCTCACTAAATTCATAGTGAACCTGTTGAGAGCTGGGCACTCCCTCCTGAACTACAGATGGCCATGAGGTGACACAGGCAGAGATGGGAGTCACGCAGCTACAAGCCTTAGCCAAGGATTTCTGGCAACCACCAGAAGATAAGAGAGAGCATAGTTCTTTAAGCTGCCTAGCATCTGGTAGGTTATGATTGCCCTAGGAAAATAATGTACTCTGTCCCACCCCCCCACCATGACAATAATAACAAAAATACAACTTTAAGTTCTTACCACATACTAGGCAATGTCCTTGATATATACTACCTGATCTGGTCCTCATGGAAGTTTACTTGTAACGACATATTTCTCCTTTTAAAAAACTGAAGCTTCCAGAAGAGCTTATTGACTAGCCCCAAATCATTAGCTGATATTTAGCTGGTGGTGCTGGAATCCAGTGTTGTCTCAGGGCCTCTAAAGCTCTGCCACCAAGGGAATGAATACAGACTGGTGATGGAGGATCACAGCAACAGGTCTTTCCTGAGCAAAACATCTTCATTTGCTTAACACAGGGATGCCACTTGTTATTTACATCAATACACACATGACTGAAAGAGGCTTAACCAAGCCTGGTGTCCTTGCCTGAAGTGGGGAACCCTGAGATCAAGAGCCTTGCTTTTCAAAGGTTCTCAGAACTCCAGGAACATGCTGGCTTCTGGGGTCCTCCTGTTTGAGAATGGGGGGCTTGAAGGAAGAGTGGGGGACAGTGGTGGTCTATAATGGAAGCTTATGTTCCAGGCCTCTGTTAAGCAGCTCATTTAGGCGATGGCTATGAGCCCAACATCAAGGCATGGCTTAATTGCACTAGTTCTCTTTATTATGGTAAAACAATGAAGGCTTGTTGTGTTCACCAGACAACTGTGATCCCAGCAAGCAAACACAATGCTTATAATTAGGGGCAACTGGGAGAGGAGATCCCAATTTGCCTCTGCCTGTTCAATAGAAACCATAGTTGGACTCCTAAAGGGACAGTTATAAGCTGGTTTCCTTGCTGTTGGCTGTGTCTGGAAGAAGGGATACTATTTTAACCATGAAAGAAAGTTGAAAAACAATTTCTGTGGTTGAAAAATACAGTGTCCATAAGACTTTGGTCCCCTTGAGGCTAGGGACTGTGTCATACTCATTTCTGTATCCTCAGATTTTGGCACTTGCCTGAGACATATCTTGTAATCAATAACATTTGCAGAATAAATGAATGAATGAAACCCTTTTTATCTGGAAGAATATCCTTCAGTAGAAAGTTTGCTGATTTAAATGTTCACATTTGTATCAATTTTGGGCATAAGTATGTGAAAGGCCCCCACCAGTAAGATGGTGAACTTCCGGCTTCTCTTCCGGGTCCTCGGTTCCCGCCGGCACCACCTGAAGCCCAATCACCTCTCTCCCCCCTCCCACTCCCAGCACCTAGCCAACAGCCACCAGCCCCGTAGAAGTAACACCACAATCACCCCATGCCCCTTCCTATATAACCCAGCACCTTTCCCTAATAAAGTGGAATTCTCCAGTGAATTGCTGCTGTGTGTCGCTCCTTTCCTTTCAGTATGGTTCCTATTACTTCCCTTATTCTTTCTCTTGCCTGCTCTACCCATCACTTCCCAAATAAAAAAACAACGCAGGATACGTGTGTATAAGGGTTTTGTTTTTGTTTTTTAATCATTATGAATGTAATGCCTAGAACATAGCTGCTACTCGGTAAATATTTCTGGGTGAATTTTCTTGATTTTTATTTTAACCCTAATACTTACACCGAGTCCCCACAATGGAAATGGTAGTTTTAGATGTGTATTTTTAAGTCATTAACAATTTAGATGGTCTTTAAATGCAGTAAAATGGTCTAGAGGAAAGCAATCCTTACGCGAATACCTACCTGATCTTACAAGATGGATATGGGGGTATGTGTATTGGGATGGCTGGCTGACAAACATCCAGGCACTGAGTAACTTATTTTCAAAGCATTTTAGAAGGTACAGGCATCAGGCTGGGTGGCTGACTCCTTAAATGATGGAGCTTGCAGCTGCTCTTTCATGTTCTTTCTATATGAGTAAGCATGGCTCTGCCTTTAAGAGAAGCTAGTAATTAACTTTTGGTGCCCTGATAATTATTGGTGAGTGGAATTCATCACTATTTACATTCATTGCCAGCCACCTCTTCATTGTGAGATTTCCCACCTCTTTAGTGTGACATTTCAAGATGAAAAATGCCAGGTATGCATTTAACTCAGTACTGAAGATTGTGTGGTCCAGCAATAAGACAGTTAAAGACAACCTACATATAATTAAAAAGTAACCCATAACACTAGGTATGGTTGTAGGGGTCAAGGGCAGGCTGCCCCAAGATTTGCTGCTTTGGCATGCAGATTATGTTAAGAGCTAGAATCAAGGCCCAAAAGATTCAGGGGGAAAGTAAAAGTTTCTTTCTGATGGCATGAAAATAACTTGTTGACAGAGGACCTGCTTCTACCATAGATAACTACATTATAATGTGAACTAGGTATGATAGACAGGGAGGAATGAGGCAGTCTGTTTATTAAAATTCCTATGTTCCATTGTTTCTGTGTAGCCCAGCCAATGTTTGTTTACTAAGCATTTACTTATTTATATTCCTGTGAACTGCTTTCCTTCCCTTTGAAGTTACAGGCTCCTACTACTTCTCCTTGGTTCAGGATGACAGGTATACCTCATTTTGCCTGCTTGCCCTTGGAATGTTTGTGGATTCCTGTATGTATGTGATTAAACTTTTTGTTCTCCTTTTAATCTCTTTCATCAATTTGATTCTTAGACCAGCAAGAAGAACATTGAGGGAAAGAAAACAAATTTTTCATCCACAACAATTGATGCAGTTAACAGGATAAACTTCTAGGTATTTACTCCAAAAATCCTGCAGCTTTGATAACCTGGAACATCTGACATACACTTGGCAGAAGGTAAGATTTCTTACCAGGTCATCCTCCCAGAATCCCTGTCTGTGGGGTCTGATGGAGCAAGAATGGGGAGAGTCTTTTTTTTCTCCTAAATTTAGATTAGCAGGAGAAAATACTGGTGGAACTGAGATAGGGAAGAGACATTGGACAAGCATCATGATTAATTTTCCTAAAAATGCTGAGATACAAATAGCATGTCTCACCTGAGGGGGATTTTTCAGCTCTGGGCAAGTTCACTCTGGATTCATTGAGACCAAATAAGGACAACTGAACATTGTGGGTAAGAAGGGCCTTATACCAAGCTTTTTTCTCACGATGGTTGGTTGAGCATTGGAATCCTGTCCACCTCCATTTCTGCCTCCAGCTCAGCCTCTGCCCGCACCTCCAGCCTCTGCTCTCCTCTCTCCTGCTCTCTTCTCTAGACTCATTATTAGCACCGGGGGAATTCTTTTTATAGGAACACAGGCAATAACAGCTTATGGCCAATGTGTATACAAATACGTGCCTGTGCAGTTGGCTAAATATTACATCATTGCACATATATAATGGGTAGACTAGATTAGGATCAGGTAAGGATCCTGGCCATGGAACTTTCATTTTCCTCATACATTTGTAAGAACTGGAGGGGCTCCATGTTAAGGTTAAGATTTCATATTAACAGCAGAGAGTTGGGAAGTAAGATTCCTAACATTTTCTGGTAATCAACCAACAACTTATCTTAAAGCACCAGGATGCTGGTCGCATGTCTCTGCTCTACCTCATAGCGACTCTTGGCAAATTTGGTCAAGTATGATTGGTTTTACTGATTCATTTCCTCCCAGATAAGGTCCTTATCTGCTGTGTTGTTTGTTATAAAAAGAAATTGCCATGGGGCAGAACCCTCTAGGCCTGCTGTAGTACCTGGCCTCAGACTGGTGAATTCACAGTTGTCATCAGACCAGCATCTGTTTAGGGAAACTTTGCTGAGTGTTAAGGTGCATGTGGGGTGAAGGCCATTGCTAAGGGGCATCTTGAAAGTCAAAGTCACAGAAGTACAAAAGTGGTGGGCACAGGTTGAGCACTTAATGTTGGCAGCCGCACTCAGAAAATAGCGCCCAATGCAGGGCAGCCGGAAGGCCCCGAACTTCCTAATGACAAATCATCCCACACCACTAAACTACATGCTAATTGCGCCTTGGCATAAGGACCAATGAGACCCACCAAATGGTTATGCTAATAAGGCATATGGAGCCGCACCAACCAGGTCAGAGCATGAGAACTATATAAGCAAGCCTCTCCTTCCCCTCTGGGTCCTGCCCAACTCATTTGTTTCACAAAGAGCTGAAGAATAAAGCTTTCTGCAGAAGAATCCTGCTGTTGTTGCATGCTGTTCTTGCCGGCGAGGACAGGGCACGCGACAACTTAAACGCTGTTAAGAGTGCTTACTACCTAACTCAAAGACTCTGTTTTAAGTTAAGTTAGTCATAGAATGGGTTAGATTGACACTATATCACCTGCCAACCTCAAAACTTCCATGCAGTGAGGCACACTGTAAAACACACAGCACTCAACCCTGCAGTGCATCCCTCTTAGGTGTTAGTGTGGTTCCACTAGACCCAAGGCTTAGCTGGAGCTCTTAATGTGCATGGAAGAAAGAAACCAGATGAGATTTTCTTTTCATCTTGTATGTCTTGGGAGCTTGGCTTTGTGACCATTGAGTATATTCTCTCTGACCTCTGCCAACCAGAGATGTGTGTACTGGCATGCATCTGACAGGAAGCCCGACAGGCTATGGATCTGGTAGTGTCAGCTCTCAGGGAAATGTGTTATAAGAGGTTCTGCTCCACTAAGGACTTTTGTCATCTCAATCTGTGTTGCTTTGTTAGTGCTAAAAAAGTCCCATTCTGTAGTGTCTGCCAGGTGTCATAGATTAAGGCATCTATGACTGGAGGCATCTCATGTTTTTGTGGGAGACTGGAGACACTGTTTTCACTATTTCATCCTTACCACCCATGTGATGAAGGCCTTTACTTCCTTATACTAACTTTGGGAGTAAACTTTTTGGGTCACAGAAGCTGCATCATTTATGCCCTTTAGGGATGCCTCTTGTGCCCATGTCTTAAGCCTAGAAAGTTGCCTCTTTCCATAAAAAGGCTTACTGGTTTGAACTGCTATTAAGAGCCTATTGTCAGAAACCAGATGATGGGTCCTTTAAGTTGGTTATATTTGCAAGAAAAAGTATCTGTAGAGAGAGCTCTCAATTGTCTTAGTAAAATAGCCAGGCTTAGGGATTCCCTTGGCAGAATCAAATAACAAAAATTAGGGTTAGAAGAAAAAACTAATGTCCACATCCAATGTAAATTCCCCTTAAAATCTGGCCCCATCTACCTGTTTTAACTTCCTTCCCTACAACATGCACAGAGAACACTTGGGCTGATCTTAGGACCGAAGAATACAGGTTATTCATGTAAGTGTTGAAAGCCAGGAAATGAATTTAATCAAAGCACCAGATATTGGAAGTAAGGCTCACTTAGCTCCCACCTTGCAGAGGTGTAATCAGGCTCTGTCAGCTTCAGTGCCCTTTGCAGATGTCTCCTAGACCCCTCACTGAGGGGAAAAAATTTTTCATGTTTCCTGGGCTGCAGCAGATCTTTTAAATTAGAAAGCCCTATAACATCCATTTTCAGAAAATCATACCAAATTTAGATAGGTATTTGAAAGATTAGTGTCCACTCACAACTACCTTCACAGAGGAAACCTGTGAACAAAGTTTCTGCTATGCCCTCCCACAAATGATGGCCAGTATTCAGGGACTGACAGAAGGGGAAAATAAAATTTCATGGAGCCCCTTTCTTTGCAAATCAAGAGCTATTGGTTATTGAACCTTTTTATCTTGGGAATAACTCTTGCCTTCTTGCTTTTCATCCTAAGAACTAGACTTGGCTTTCTGCCTGTCTGGGACATGCTGGTTGTCAGATTTTTTTTTTTGGCTATCATTGGGAGTTACTCTAGACCTTGTAAATATCTTTTACACCCTCTTTCAAGATACCTCTTGGGTCTATAGGGTTAAGAGTTCCAGAAATATATATACTGTTCTTGCAACTGACAAAGTGTTTAGAAGGATTGAATAATTTTGTGGAAAAAAAATTGGCCAAATAGGAAGCTGATATTCAGATCCCTATAGGAACATTTTTAAGGCCTTCTCTCCTAAACTACCTAAAGGGAAAGAAACAATTAAAACATAGGTGGATGGGTATGTTAGTCTTTGTTATCATTTAAGGGGAATCTAATTCTTTGGGGGATTAAAAATAGCTGTCCTTGTTTTGCAAGTCTAGTCTTTATAGAACCAGTTATGGCTCTAGAAACAATTCAAATCTGCCTGTGTTTACTAATCTCCAAACCTGGAGTATTCATCTTAAAATGCTTGGAGATATTGTGACGTTGAAAACAGAATTGTCCTGTACTTAAGAGAAAGAAGAACATTTTAAATAGCAACTATCGCAAATCTTTTACGGGAAAAAAACTGGCAGTTTTTCCTCTGTCCCTTGAAGTTATACATCTGATCATGTCTTTGAAATGTACACACAGCCCACAATCACCTGAGATTGAAGGAAAAAGGAAAGAGACCTTTTAATTCATTTTTAGTAATATTTTTGGTTTCACAGGTACAACATTGTGATTTGACAGTTATCTACATTATTAAATGCTTACCTCAGTAAGTATGGTTGCTATCTTTTAACATACAAAGATATTACAATATTGCTGACTGTATTGCCTGTGCCATACTTTCATCCCTGTGATTAATTTATATTATGATTGGAATTTTGTGTCTCTTAATCATTTTTACCTTTTTCACCCACCTCTCTTCTGTGGAAACCACTAGTCTCTTCTCTGTATCTACAAGTCTATTTTTTGGTTGTTGTTCATTTGTTTTATTTTTTTAGATGCCACATATAAGTGGCATCATATGGTATTTGTCTTTTTCTGCCTGCTTATTTCACTTCGTATAATACTCTCTAGGTCCAGCCATATTGTTGCAAATGGCAAGATTTCTGCCTTTTTTGTGGTTGAGTAATATTCTACTATACACATGTACCACATCTTTATCCATTTATCTATTGATGAATACTTAGGTTGCTTCCATATTTTGGCTATTGTAAGTAATGCAGCAATAAACATAGAAGTGCAAATGTCATTAGTATTTTGATAGAGATTACATTGAATCTGTAGATCACTTTGGGAAGATGACCATTTTTATAATACTCATTCTTCCTATCCATGAGTATAGAATACCTTCCCATTTATTTGCATCATCTTCACTTTTTTTTCATCAGTCTTGTAGTTTTAAGAGTATGGTTTTTTCAGCTCCATGGTTAGATTTTTCCTAGGTATTTTATTCTTTATGATGCAATTTTGGGAATGACAATTTCTTTCTGTATATTAATTTTGTATCTTGTAACTTTACTGAATTTAGTTCTAATAGGGTTTTTTTTTTTTGGTGGAGTCTTTAGGGTTTTCTATGTAAAGCATCATGTCACCTGTACAAAGTGACAGCTTTACGTCTTCCTTACCAATTTGGATGCCTTTTCTTTTCCTTGCCTGATTGCTGTGGCTTGGACTTTCAGTACTATGTTAAATAAAAGTGGTGAGATTGGTCATCCTTGTCTTGTTTCTGATCTTAGAGGAAAAGATTTCAGCTTTTCACCATTGATTATGATATTAACTGTGGGTTTGTCATAGATGACCTTTATTATATTGAAGTATGTTACCTCTATACACACTTTGTGGAGAGTTTTTATTGTAAATGGATGCTGAATTTTGCCAAATGCTTTTTCAGCATGTATTGAGAATATCCTATGGTTTTTATCCTTCCTTTTGTTAATGTGGTGTATTACATTATTTGTGGGTATTGTACCATCCTTGCATTCCTGGAATAAATCCCACCATCTCATGATGAATGATCCTTTTGATGTAATTTTGAATTTGGTTTGCTGCTATTTTGTTGGGGATTTTTGCATCTATGT